ATTTCTGACCAGAGCACAAAGGTAAAAGCTGAAAGATGCTGACGTAGGGTTTAAATGTCAAGCTGCAACTTTACTTCCAGCCACAGGGTACAAACACGGTTCAACGCACACAGACACAGCAATTTCCCTCGGCTGTGTTTAGGAATGCCAAAATCTCACGTTGCATTCGAGTGCTGCGACGGGTAACGACGATAGAAACTCAATCCATGTAGAGCCAGGGTCTTTTTCTCCTAAGGTGTCCACCAGCCCACGATCTGCTGTAGGCTGGTTCTTGGCCAAAGTGCAGCATTTTGCTGCAAAACGCATTTAGCACCGTGCCACGTGAGTGCTTGGGATGGCACCCCCGTGGGGCACCAGGGGGCTGAGCCCACACTGCCATTTCTCAGTAACATTACACTCAGGCAACCTGTCGCTAAAACCAATTGTTTATTTTTAAATCTGCCAGACAGGTATTAAGTATCCGCCGCCTTCTCTGGTGACTGCGTATCAGCATCCCTAAGCTGCCCAGGGATCTGCCTCCTCAAGCGTAACCACCATCACTTCGCCACCTAAAAACTTACCTTTCCATCTACTCTCACAATGTTTTCAGGCTTCCACCAGCCCGGGAAGCCTACGTAGATAAAAGGCTGGGCACAGTATTAAGGAGCAACAGTCCTAAACCCTCTCCAACATATCTTGCAGCTCCTGCTGATAGTTTTGCCCAGGCTAATCCAGCCCCAAGGGATGTGGGTGAGCCCCCAGCCCTGCCTTGGGTCCTCCACAAGCAGGACTCAGGGAAAACTGCTGTTGTGCTGGCAGCATTTGCTCTCCACTGCCCAGCAGAGCCAGCACCCCCCTGCTCCTCCTTCCTCCTGACACCCCACTTAGGAGCTGGCAGAGCTGCCCTGTTTGCAAGGAATACGTCCCCAAATCATTAGCACTTAATCCAGGGCAGCCGAGGTAACGTTGGCATCTCCTGAGCAAGACAAGGTCCTGCACATAAATACAGAGCCATAAACCTACCCCGAGCCTGCCAGCAGCTCCTGAGCCCCTGGAAAGCATTTCCAGATCTTCAGCTATGAAGACATTTGCCCTTTGAGGTGGCCTTGAAGTCCTGGAACTGAACCACAGCAGATGCTCTTCTCGCATTGCGCTGGACACCCTGCCCAGTGCTACTGCCCTCAAAATACCCCTTCCCTCTCCCCCCTGAAAAAAGGACCTGTGGCAACTGTGACTGGCTGCTAGTTATTTTTCTTGGTTTGTTTTTCACAGCCCATGTGAGGTTTTTCCTGGTGGCTCATTTATCCTCCATTAGCCGAATTTCACTTGTACCTGAGGTCCAATTTGGTTCTTAAATACATCATTTTTGCACCCACCTGAATGTTGCCTGCAGACAGGAGGTGACCAAACCCCTTTTGCACCCATTTCCAACCCCTCAGCCTTCTCCAGGCTCTGGAACCATCCTTCAAAGGTCAGCCAGCCTGTGGGACAGCCCACTGGCAATGATGTACTGCCAAAAAACAAACCCTCAAACCCCTAAACTTTCCATATCTTAAAACTGAACAAATTAAAGCTCCAGCAGCAGCCAGGAAATGAACTGCCCATTGCACTTTGCACATGGCATTGAAAGCTAAAGATGCCTGACTGCTGCCACAAGAAACGTCCGGTTTCCTCAAAGGACTACTCAGTTTCCCACCAGTTTTGGGCTGAAAAGTATAGACGAGGAATGGGCTGAAAATATTCTTTATTCCTGTTCATATTTCTATGTGTCCAGGCAGCTACTATAAACAAGAGCCCAGCCACATGTCACTGGACACATCTTATGCTACTTCTCTCAATCTTCTCTTGCGGTGTCCTTTCTGTCCCTTTCAATGATTCTAAGTTTTTGCGTGGACTTCACAGTCACCTCTTCCATAACCACATTTCAGTGTTCCCGTGGACTCTGTCAATGGCTGGTTTGTACACTCTGGCTTTGGGTGGGATTCTTTCAAGTATCTCCCAGCTCCACGAATTAAAGGTTAGTGCTTTAGCCCATTTGTTTAACCATTAGCCCATCTGTTAGTCGCTGCCTGGGCTTTGGTACTTTGAAATTACTCTCTCCTATGCCCATCTGGATTGGTCTCCCTTTTCACCAGCTTTGGTTCCAAACCACGTATCACTCCCTATATCCTGGGCAACAGTGCACATTTAAACCAGGCCTGAAGAAGCCTCCTGCCCCCCCCAAAATTGTGGGATATGTCATTTGAGAGTGGTGCTCCGTCCTGCTAGAAACTGGAGCGTGCGGCCTTCTGTGAAAGAAGATCATCACCCATCAGGAGCTCAGGGGCAACACCGGAGGGAGGCAGTGGGCTCTAACAATAAATCCATTTCCATCCCACCTCCATACATGTGTCCCAAATGCTACATTTACCCAACACCCTGCCGTTCCCCAGGCAGAGGCAGCAGCACTTGTATTTTAATACTTTAACAAGGCCCAGCGGTGAAGCTAGAAGCTGAGCTCTCCCTACTGTTGTCACCAAGAGGTGCCCTTTCCCTTTTTCCATCCTTCCAGGATGTTTTTATGGCTTCCTGAAATAAATAAGGACACTTGCATCTCATCCTGCACTGAATCTGTTAATGGGAAGGTGCCTTGTAGCAATCTCCCCTGCCTTACCACCACCCCTGCTCTCCCACCACAAGCGGTGGGAGGGCCCAGCCTGCCGGGGGGTGACCAAGCACCACTCCTCTAGCACCCACTCATGTTCTTCCAGCCCGTGGGCTCACCCCCAGACCCAGGGTGACAGCTCCTGTGAGGCTTGGGGTCTTCCCTGTGTTCCTCGCCTAGACACGCAGCTGCACTGCATCCCATCACACCCCACCCCAGGTAACCTCTGCCCCAGGAGCAGCATGGAGGATGCTCTCTTTCTCCATCTCTATTTTCTTCAGCTTTGCACGTAGCGCCTGGCACCAACAGATAAATCTGTCATCTCCCCCCTGCAACCTTTCCCCAGTTGCCAACGTTCTGCTCCTCCCCCTTTTTGGAGGAATGATGCTGAAGGAGGCTGCCCTGGGGCTTGGTAGGCCCCATGCCCGCACTGCTGCCTTGCTAGCACCCTGTGCCCGGCAGGTAGCTGCCCTGCACCTGGCTTGCTTGAACCTGAGCTTCAGCTTGAACTTGCCTGGGCATCACCTCCATCCCTCCTTCCTCTGCTGCAGCATCACCACGATGGAAGCAGTCAATGCTCCTTGGCTTTGACCCGCCCCAGGGATAAATCATCATGGGGGGGTCCTGCCCTGCACCTGGCTTGCTTGAACCTGAGCTTCAGCTTGAACTTGCCTGGGCATCACCTCCATCCCTCCTTCCTCTGCTGCAGCATCACCACGATGGAAGCAGTCAATGCTCCTTGGCTTTGACCCACCCCAGGGATAAATCGTCATGAGGGGGTCCAACTAGATGACCTTGAAGGTCCCTTCCGACCCAGATGATTCTATGATCTGTTGGCCCCATCCTAGCCATAGATCCAGACAAAACCTAGGGAAGCTCCAGCTTCAAATCCCTCTACGCCAAATTCAATTTTTACTTGAGCCCCCTCTCCAGGATCAATCAGGGCAGCAGCCAAGGATGAGCACCCTCCTCCCTGTCATCTCAGTTGACTCCTCCCATCTTCCATCTCCTAATGTATTAAGTGTTTTTGTGGCCAGGATTGTCACCAGCTGTGGAGTCCCCAGTCCTTGCCCAACTTTGTTCCAACAATCTGCTATACTGCGCTGTACTGAGCCAAGCTGTCCTCTTTTGAGCAAACCAACATCATTTCACTCGTACTTTGAAAGTCCTTCTTCCAACTACAAAGGCACAGACTCGGGATACTCTGTCTTCAGGACCAACAAGTTATCTGCCATATAAATTCAGGAAGTTTTGGGAAATTTCTCACTCTCTAGTGAATCTTTCTCTAGATACTTCCTACTTGGGTATCTACCAACATCGCTGCTACTAAAATGTAACCCACTGGTAGGACTTCACTTCTTCAAAAAAGCAAGCAGATAGTGCTCCCGACTTAGGTAGCGGAAGGAAAGCTTAAAAATCAAATGCTCTGTTCGATATACAGAAAAACTGAAAAATAAGCTCAAAAAACATAGGGCTATTCCTTCTCCCCATTTATGGGATCCCTTTGTTGTCACGCTCTTCCAGGACAGTTCTCAGGTCCACAGTTCAGTAGTAACTGTTACCATTTATTTTTAATCCCCTCTTATCTTTAAAAAAAAAAGTAGTAAAAAGTTGAATTAAACACCCATTTGTATCTCTGGTTTTATCCCTTCCCTAATAGCGCTGTTTTTAAAAATAGCCTGCACCTTTCAAAAATTCTTGCAATAAATGCCACGTCTTTGGCCGTTTTTGCCCTTTTTCACTTTGGTCTTTCATTTGCCAGCTACAATAACTTGTAGCCACAAGGCACTGGGGGTGACCAGCAGTATGGCTCCTCTGTGGCCGAGCTCATGGACCCCGAGACCCTGCTCCTTGGAAAGCCAGTTGGCCCCCTCCAGCCAGCTCGGGACTCCCACCTCCCCCTGCCCACCCAGTTGCTAAGGCTTGGAAACACCCAGAGATTACAAATGTTTCGCTTCCATCACGCGCTTCGTGATTTAAGAAGCGGAAGTGCTTCGTTAAGAACTACAATTGATGAAATACTAACGTGTGCCTTTTTAATAAAATGAAAACAAAAGCGTTCTAAATCATAGCGGCTGATAGATCAAAACTGTCCACTGATTGGGAGCGCAGTGTAGTTAAGAAGTGTGAAAACTGCAAAATATTAAACCCCTGCAGCAGCTCAAATCCACAACAAAACCTCCAGGCAGAGCGAGCAACGCTGCCCGATGCTCTGCCCATTGGCGAAACGCAAATTTTCTTCCTTGGGAATGGCATCTCCTCTTTTCCAAAGGAGAGGAAAAAGGTACCAAGCCCTTTTGATTAGTGCACAGTAGCTCTTTCCCTAATTAGCAATATTCTTTTACAGCACTGAGAAACGAGGTCTTTTTGTTTACCATTAGTTGAGGTAAGTTATCTTGCTTTTATTTGGGTTTAAGACTACTGTAAAGGAGTAGCTTTTCAGTTGCAGCATGGTTTGTCAAGATTACAATATTTACGACTGCATAAAATACATAAGTAAAAAAATTATGATTTGTAGAGTTTGTTATCAAGAGCTGAGACTTACATCTTTACAGAACTGCAAATACTGGCTTCCTAACTGCTAGCTGATAATTTTCCTGGCAAGAGCATTTGTTATACTTTTTTTTTTTTTTTGTAACCTCTACACCCTTTTGTCCAACTGTTGTAAGAACTAGCAAGAAAGTTGTTTGTAACTATGGTTAAACTGTTGTAACAGCATTAGACAAGCTGTACTGATTCTTCATTACAACACCCTTCATTTGAAGCTACAAATGTAAGAGGCGATTCCTTTTGTTCAAAAGAGACTATTAGCATGCTCTGTGCCTTTAACACTTCACATCGATTACAAAAGAATTTAACAATGCAATCACTAACATACCCCACTAATGAGAAATTATGAGAAATTGTTTGATGCAGAACCTTCTGCATCAGTCAACTCCGATCGATAAGAAAGCTATCCATTTTGAAATTTAGATTTAATGCATTTTCAAGAAGCTAATGAGAAAGGAGCAACTTAAAATAAATACCATCATTAAAACTGCAAACTGTTACAATGATATATTATAAACTTGTCCTAAATAAACCTAGTGCTTCAAAAATTTACCAGTGAATTCGTATTACAAAATATGTGAAAATACAATAGTGTACCACAAAACAACGTCCTTTTTTGGGGTCGACAATGACGCCAAGATGATTCAGTCTTAACTTTTGAAATCGTTAATAGAACATATTGTAATATATAAGTTGCAATTTGGTTGAAGTCTAGAGAATATCCCCACCCAAACTCAAATTCACCTTTTTCATTCCTCCTCTAAAACTAGTGCCAAACTTCCTGTCAAAGCCGGTATTTTCTCAAAGAGCTTTAAAGTTTAGCCGTTACTTATTTTCTACTACTACATTTTGGCAGCAACTATTTATTGGTCTGTTATTGCAAAAAGTGCAATTTAACAATAAACCAGTCTGAAGGTCATTTTATGTCTTGAGGATACATACCATATATTTCTTTAAAAATAATCATACTTTTGTAAGCAATACTTTACAGTAGACACCTCAAATCTACCATAGATGTAAAACTTAAAACGAGAAAAATTTAGTCTCTAAATCTTTATACACATATTTATATTCGAGTTTCTATATATATTATATATATACACAAGCACAAGAGTATATATAAAATATATATAATCAGATTCAAAAAAGAACAAAAACTGGGCACTGTACATAAAATCTTTTTAAAACTCAAACAATAGAAAAACTTTAAACATTAAACAATTTTAATAAAAGTTTCTGTACAATGCTAAGCAGTTTTATTTACATATAGAAAATGTAATAGGAGTAGTGTTTGAAATTACAGAACTCCTTAAAATTTCAATGGCAGGTAATCTGGAAAAAATAACAGCATTCCATTCACAAATATTTTCAAGCAATAAATATGTATTTATAAATAGTGTAAATTTACATCAAGATTAGAAACAAAAATCACAAATCTGAAGTTTATTCCTTAGTCTATGTGCAACCCATTTATCTTTGTGACTTGGCTGTTAATTGTTTTAAATTTTATTTAGGAACCAAAAGTGTAACCGTCATGGTTTCAAAACAAGACAGAAAAACATAAAAGCAGTAAAAAATTTATATCACCTAACTCTTCACATTAAAAAAAAAAAAAAAAAAAAAAAAAAAGAAGAAGAAGAAGTTGCCCAAAGAAAGACTTAAAATTTCTAACTACCTTACAAAGAAATGACCAGCTAAGCTAGTACTTTTCCAAGGGAAATTCTGAAGGGGAAAAATGGATGAAACCAACTCATCAGCCCAGAAACAGAGAAATACAAAAGAGGTGGTCTTCAAGTCAGTAGTCTGTATAATGTTGCCAGTTTTGTCAGATATATACAAAACATGGAATTATTTTTTTTGAAGTACAGCTGGATGAGCTTTATTTGTTTTGAGTTCTGGAGTAGGAGGCAGTGCTCTCTCCTGTCCAGTTGGTTGACACTCCGCACTTGGAAGGTTGCATAGACACAGCTTTCAGCCAGCAGCCTTACGGGATAGCTACAAAAATCAGTGGTGCAGAACTGGGTCACTTCCTGAATATCAGAAAAGTTTTCATTTAATGTCCATGAAAAAATGTCAAGATGAGGAGGATGGCAATGGAGGAGCCTGAAAAAGAAAACATTAAATTACCTTTTCTACAAGGGTGTAAAACTCAGTTGTTTAACCAAGACCTGCACAAACAGTAACCATGAGAGTTTAGTCACACGCACTACTGCTTTTACACTTCAGGAGTTTTTTCAGGATGGATACTGGCTTTTTTTTTTGTTTTCCAACTTACTCAAATACAACACATATTTTACGATTACTCTTCATTAGGATTTTGCCTATACTGCAGACTGGAGTATGCTGTGGCACTGTCTGTGTTAATACGATGTGAGCTGCCAAAACAAGTCCCTTTGTGGCAGCAGAGAGCTCCATGTAGGCTCAGTATGGATATATCTTTATATACCCTAAAACAGGGATTCTCAACCTGTTTACCAATGGGGTTGTGTGTGTGTGGGGGTGTATTGTCCATTTCTGGCTCTCCAGATGCCTTCTGGGCTTCATTTCCCCCCCTATACCTTAGCAATAAGATATAACCCTGAAGTTACAGTATCTGTGTAAAGGGTCTCAGATTCTCTGACATGGAGACAGAGTTGGTTGGGTTTTTTTTTTTTTTCCTTGTTTATTTTGTTCTTTAATCCTGGAAGACACCACCAGACTGCCCTAAGAGTAGAGTATGTCTTGTTCCTGCCTGCTTTCAGGAGATGAGGTCCAGAAATATTTATTTCCCAATACTGCACTTTGTGGCACTACCATCAAAATGCTGAATGTTTGATGGCATTTCCTTCTCCTCTTTTCCTGTTCATCAGTCCTGTCATGATGTGGAATCCCTTCAAGAAGCTGCTCAGAGTCTTTAAAGACAGTTTAATCATACCATAGTGTCCACCTATGAAACATGACCACTAGCTGACCCCTGTATTTGCTCCCAGTATTTCAACCCCAACTCTGACCCTCTCTGTTAGGCCTATTGCACCTTTGCCATCTGAGATTATCTTCATCTTGTGACTTGGAACAAGCCTGATCTCTTCTAGATCTGACAGGTGTCACTTTTAGGCTATGACTCTTCTCAATTGAGACTGTATACCCTTTAAAAGGAATGAATGTGCACACCAATTCCATAAGAGAGCAATCATTAACGCCCTTTGTGACTGGAGGGATAGTCTTTGGTGGGAGGCTGAGAACAGGTTGAGAACCCTTGTTCTAGGGACAGTATCATCACTGTTGCCTATATAATGTTATAGACACAGACAACAAAATACCCTTCCCTCCCCCCTCTTTTCCATACAGAAACGTTCTTGCCCATTTCAACTCAACTGGATGACGTATCTGAGAACAGGTGTTTATTTATATGCTTTTCTATAACAGATCATCACTTCGAAATTGCAGTATTTCACAAACTATAACGACAATGGGCTCCTAGAAGTATGAACTGAAGTCCAACCACCTCAGGCTCTGTAGGACCGATGAAGAGAATTAAAATCAGAGGGCACGGTCCTGCCCTTTCACCAGCCTGAACCTTGAGGCCTTAGCTCAAAAGGTCACAACTTATCATGCCAGCATTACCTGAAATAATTGTCTAAACATACATTTTCTGCAGCACCTGGAAACAAATCAAAAGGCACAGCCATTTCTGGGCTGTTGTATTAATTCAACATGAAATTCTCATAACGCTTAGTCCGATGTTTGTCTCATTTGACAGAAAGGCAAGGCTTATAAATAAATCCAGGATCGCTTTCATTGTGATTACAAACAAGCCATCTTTGCCTGAAACAATGAAACCTGGGTGAAATGTTAGGACAGTTGTGCTGACACAGTTCAAAGCAGGAGGCTGCCATATATAGCACAAAGCTATAATGGCAAAGAGGCTTTTTGCTTTAAATTGAAATGCAAAGGAGGCCCCAAGCCAAAAGACAGAACTGTTTGAGAGCATCCACTTGCTAAGCAGAAGGACAGTGCTGATTTGGGAGAGGATGGGTGGGGAAGGGGAAGGAAGGGATCTGAGTGCACAGGATGCTCTGCTGCTATACTGACTTCATACCACAACCAATGTATTAGAGATGCTCTTGAACCTGGTGCTAGTTTCTCCAAGCTTCACTGTCCTGATTCTTCCCATCTCCATCTGATCCAGTTATGGTCTTCAGGTGATCTCTATTGGATTTTTAAAGCCACAACTTTATGAATTGTAACATCATACTTTTCCTGAAAACTGAGCGGTTATGTTCTGCAGTAAGTTACTCTACTATTTCACATAATTCTGACTCTTCAGCATTTTGTTCTGTAAATATCACACACAACCCGTACCTCCATTTGAATCAGAAAGTCCATGGTACTCATACAGTGGAGTACCAAGACAGTCTACAACTGCTTTACAAATCATGTATTTATGCACCCACTTATTAATGTGACTTACTAATGTAAATTGATCATAGACTTGCATCAAGTCCTCCATTTTGTACTGTTCTAGCACCACAAAATTTTCCAGGTTCGTGCTTATCTTTCGTGCACAGTCTTGGCAATGTACGACATAGGTCTTTCGAGAGTTGCTCTCACTAGTGACAAAAAGCAGATCAAAGACTTCCACCTATTAGATAGGAAACAGAAAGTCAACTATTAGAATTTCATTTTTTTAAAGTTAAACCAACAAAAATTGCATTTTCTTTAAGATTTACACCATTACCCTGTGCATGCAAAAAGAAAAATTAGATTTGTTCAGGGAAAAATCTATCCTTGTAATGCTCAAGCAGAGATGTGAAATATTCTAAAACCACTAACATTACACTTAGAATGTCTGCATGAACAGCACTATGGGAAAGCTTTTAATCAATATTGACAAAGCAGGATTCATACTCTAAATAGGTGTTACTCAGTAAGGTGGGGATTTGTAACAATTATACCTAATTTTCCTTATTTCAATTTGTCTGCAAAAGAAGTTTGTGATTTATTTCCTTACTACTCAGTCACATGCTCATCCTGCCCAAGAGGCTCGGCCAGAAAATAACTAGAAAAAATATTTTCAGGAGGCAGGATAATTTTATTTTCTTTTAAGCATCATGAAAACTGTGATCACATACTTTAAAGAACTATTAACAGAAAGCAGAATCAAAAATTTCAGCAAAAGGTATGTACTGTGAAGTCAATTTACTTAAATTCTCTCTCTTTTGGGGCAGCTGTTGACTTCTGAAATGAAGACAGACACACCTTTACAATGAAGCTCAGCAGATCAAATTATATGCAGGAAGGGATAACAATTTTTTATAATAACTGAGAATTGAAAATCGACCTAGAGTATAACAATGCTGTGAAGTACTGTGGAAGACTACAGCAAAATATAGCCTACGTCTAGAAAAACAGCTTTATAAGCTCTTTGAAGACAGTACTGCATCACCTATATGTTCTTATAGTAGATGCTGCAACTTAAATTAAAATACTGCAAAATTAAAATATTAATAACAACCAAAGACAGGAAAAAAAATCAAATAAATATTATAGTACTACATAAGCCCAATGCATATTGTTTACTGACCTCACAAATGCTACAGTAATGAGCTGGCTCGTCCTTTGCTCGCCCATGCCAGACAATCTCTTTTCCTGCAGCAATTAGAGCTTCCCTCAGTGTCTGACACTGTTTGAGAGTTCTTAACAGGCAGTACCTGCAATCAAAATCAGTGGTATGTTCAGTTCAATATTCAACTTCATAGCAAGATTCAAGCAGACCTAAAGTTCTTCTAAGACCCTGTACTTGGGAGTTTCCTCTTCCCCTGGGATTTCAGGAACAGCTGGTTAAGAATCCCTAGACCCATGACTTAGGTAGAAGCTGCACCACGTGCTTATGGACCTCTGTGTCCATTTGCTCCATTTCAGTTCTGCCCCGCTCTGCCCTGCAAACAGCCTGTGTCTTTCATTTTTGACTAGAACGCACAAATGCCCTTTTAAACACAATAAAACAACGTGCTTTCAAAAGTAATCCAGGTGTTTTATTTTGAACTATAAATTTAGCAGCAAAAAGTTATTTTCAATTTGGCAGTTCAAACTAGGTGTTTACACTTTGTATAAATAACTATCGCCTATACAAAGAACTGTTTTAACTAACATCCTAAAAACCCTGTTACAAGTATTTTCCTCCATGTAAAAGGAAAAAAAATACACAGGTTAGAAAAGCAAGCCCCTCCACAAGAAAAAAACAAACCACACAAACTTTGAAATAGGAATAAAAGAAAATATTAATACTTATTTCATAAATGGAAAAAAGAAGTGGTCAAATGTCTAATTAAAATCAACAATTCCCAGCTTTACTTCTGTAAAGCATAAAAAAAAAATATCTTCACAATTTTATACAGTTCTCTTCTGTACTAGAAAATCTAACTTGTTTTCTATCATTGTATGAGCTACAGATGTTCTCTAAAAAAAAAAAAAGTTGGCAAAATAGGTCACCGGATTTTCAAATTACAATGTTATTTACAATAATTTTTAGCTCTTAGCCATCCTATTTATTTGAGCCGCAGCCTTTGCAGCCTTTAATTTTCTCCTCCACAGGGTGGTTACGTTACATGCTCATTAGATGCAGAAAGAAGATTGAAAAAATGTAAGGGGAAGAATAAACATTGGACAGAAAACAAAGTGCTCAAGAGTTCTATCAAAATGTTTTCAACTTGATCCTTCTCCCATTTTAAAGCCTTAAACATGTAATATATATGTTCTGTATTTTTTTTTTAAATGTTTCTTTCATGTGTTTCCAAGTAGTTAATAGAATCTTAGGCTTACTTTGAGATACTCTCCTCTTAATGTTTTACACTCAGACTGCTCATCTTCACTAAAACCAAGCCTATACCTTCATTAATACCCTCACTGTAAATAATGCAAAACTGAAAGCGTGTTTCTATGTTAAACATCGTATTTTCATATACTGAATTTCAAGAAAATTAAACAGCTCATTCAACCGTAAGTCCATCAACACTTTTAAAGTTTGATGTTAATGGGACTTACAATGCTAAGGCCAACCATATGCGATAGATCATGTATTATTTCACTTGAGTGTTGGGCTAACCTAAATGTGCTTCTGACAAGTTTAGTAACTTTGGTATAGCATTCTTTTCTGCCATACAGCTTAATTTCAAAGAAACATAGAAGCTACCATTCTTCTCTTCTGCTGTTACCCAGAAAAGTCTTTGGGTATGCCAAAGAGCAACTGGAAGCACATTTGCCACCATTGTTCTCCACTCCTGACTTCCAAAGACTTGCAAAGTGTTATTTTCAAAGAGTTTTCTAGTGTTACAGTTGTGAAGAAAGAATTGCCCAAAACATAACCCACATATAACACCACTGCAACGTTTGCCAAATTTGAAACCAAAGCCAAAAACAATAGCTAGAAGGTGAATTCTCCATCCTTGGATAAAATTCAGATCCTAGTTATGGCACTTGAAAACATAAATGTTAACTATTTCATGCCGTCAAAGAATGGGAGAGAGCATACAAACTATCACTTTGAAAATGCAGCACAATTTCCTAAATTACGGGAAGCCAAAAAGTCTAGCAGAGCACGATGTATAAAGTTAAATTACTTCGGCTTTCAGTATTGTAGGCCTGCTTTTATTCTTGTACAGTGAGAATTCAGTTGAAAGAAAATCTGGACCATCTCTCTCTCTCTCAAATTCTTCACAGGTATGGCATAAAGAATGAGTATATCATGTCCAGTCAAATATTTAAGAGATGAAGATTTTAAAATGGACATCATCCTGGTTTATTCTAGAAGGGCAGTGAGAAACCTGTTTAAATATTTAGAAATCCAATAAAACTTTTCAAACTGTGGAGACCATCCCAAAGGCAATGCAAAACTGACCTCTTTGTATCTTTCAGTAATACATCTTCCCTACTGATACCGAAATGTATTTTATCTGGCTTCATGATTTTGTGCAAAATCATTTCTCCCATGTCAGGTTCTTTTATGTTTCTAAAATTATTTTTGTCTAAGAACTGAGTATTTCAGTTACTTTGGAATTAATTTTTTAAGCCTTTATGACTATGTTCCCACTACCTCTAAAATTCTTCTCTTCCTGAGATGCATTTGTAAAAGTCCTTCTAGCTTCCATCTAAGAGGTCTGTGGTTCGTTTTTCTTTTCTTGAGGGTTGTGCTCCCTCAGTCAAGTGTTAAATCATTCTGTCTGCCTGTGTTCCTGCTCATGATCCTACTGTTAATATCAAATCTTTAAAAGACCTCTCATGAGAAAGTTTTAGTTTTTGCTCTGCCTTTTGTCTAGCAAGACAGCACCAAGTTGCATATTAACTAAAAATATAAAGAGCTTCAGATTTCTTCCAAAAGCAAAGTCTCCTTCTATTAGTTTTTCCCTATTGCTGTTCTGTTTCTTTTCATCATTAATCTGGTTCCCAGTATTTATATGTATGCTTAAATTTTAGTTTATTGCCTCTGTAGTGGTTACTCTCACATAACCCAGTAAGAAATATTTGTATTGATCTTTCAAATTGGAATTACAAAATAATTTTTATTGTTTTCCAAGAGCTATTCTTTTGTACTATACTGATGCCTAAGAAGGCCCAGAGAGAGAAGTCAAACTACCTAAACACTTAGGTATCTTTAGTGTGCAATTTTAAATACAGACCTGCATTTTGGCAAAAAAGATGACAGCTGTGTCACTGACACATTTTTTTTTCCTGATAAATGAAAAGTCAGCTATTCAAGATGAAATTCAACCAGCTGTATCAGAAATCACTATTTCTCAAGTGTTTTTATACACATGTATACATACACACACAAATGTCTATTTTGTACATAATAAAATCCAGGAGCAGTGGACAATAGCTATTTGCCAGCTGGTGCTTTCTTTTTCCTGCAGACAAGTAGTCCATACAAAAAATTATACAACTGTTTTCCTATCTTAAGGAGATCCATGAAGGTTTCTGCATTTCCAGTATGCTTACAAAGCCAAGGTCAGATACCAGACTGTTTATTCTGGTGGCACCCATTTCTAGTAACAGCTATACCATGGCTACAGAAGCGACCACAATGAAGAGTTACTGCTACTAGATGTTACAAATCAGAGCTCATCATTGGATCTTCTTCCCTTCTGCACACACAGCATGGGACTTGGGATTTGGCTGACAACTAACTTAGATGGAGGGCTTAATCCAAGTAAACTGGAAATGGTTTCAGTAGCCTAGAAAAAGCAAACGCAGGCAAGACCAATTGCATCTGCTCCTCAGCAGCTTTCTTTATTTCTAATGTACACCTAAAATTTAGGTCTCTCACTAGAAAAAGCTCAGCTGCTCTCAGCCAGCAAGACAATAGGAAACAACCATTTTGTCTGTTGTGTTTCTTCACATTTTAAGATATTCTCTTGTAGAAAGATGCTATACTCAGTCATGTTTTTCTCCTTTTAAGCCTAAACCATGGCAAAAAAAACACCTTAACTTGTGTAAATGCAAATACAGGTGCCAAAAAATGAAAATCATATTTTGCCAAAAACATTCCAGAACTGTTTCAAGCTTTACAATTGATGCCTGCTGGGCTTGGGAAGTTATATAAAGATAATTGTGAAATAAGTTTGTGGGCTGTTTTTTTTAAATGGACTTTTTGGCTTCCTCTCTCTCACAGCCTGCTTTCCTCCCCCCCGCTACCATTTTTCATTTCTAACTATTCAGTTTCTCCTCTCCCTTTCTTGACAGCTAGCACGCTGACTACGAGCTCTAATAGCTTAATTGAAGGGGCAGGATTGTCAAGCTTTCAGCAAAGATTTTCTTTACCCTAGGTATTAGTTACTACATTTTAAGAGAGTATTCACGCATAAATGCAATTCCAAAACCTAGATTTACAGTGACTAGAAACCTCCCTGTCTTCAACTTCCAATATTCTTGATCCTTACGAAGTTACCAGTTCACCAATTCCACCATTCTATAACAGATGTTCAAGCCTTAATTAAATTCCTACTGTGAAAAGGTGTCTCACTCAGGTGTCATCAATAAATCCTACTAGGGGGGAAAAGAAGAACTTATTTTCCTTTGTGCTTTAGTTGCAGGTTAATCCACCCATTTTTGTAAAGGTCCATTTCAAGGCAAATTATAAAAGGATTCAATGCTTGTGGATCCAGCATGTTAACAAGACTAAGAAGTGCTCAAGCTAGAAGCTCCTTTGGTAGGCTTAAGGAAAACAGACAAGTGCTGCTACTATAGTATCTCCATTATGCTTTGGAATTAATTCCCTCACTTCCTTTAGGACAAACCCACAATATACTCTGAAATGTCCATTCGTTCCTTAACCTAGCTATAACAATGCTGCAATATGATTTATATTTGCTTGAAGTTGCACTTTTCAAAAAAAAAAAAACAAACCACAAACAATTACCAAGGATGCTTCAAGCCTGGAATATTCCTGCATTTTGGAATATGCGTATGAGAAATGTCACTAAGCTCAATTATCTTTTTACACATCAGTTAATTCATTGTTCACAAGAAAGATCAAAGAGAAGGTGGCTTTCAAACTCCTACTTTCCTTTATTTAAAACATTTATACTGGATCTCCAAATGACAGTATGTGAGCACTAACTAGAGGTTCTAGAATGTCAAATTAAGTTTAACTTTGGTGTAAAAATGAATAAACATTCTAATTCTAATATTTGGGTTGATGACCTAATTTTGTTATTTCTTATGGTATGTACTCTGAACAGCTTTTGTCATCTAAGTCAACTGCTTCTGTAAACTGCTGTATTAAGTCTATGGCATATTTAAAAAAAGAAGTTAATTTGATCATTCTAAAGCTATGTCACAATAACATCAAAGTAATTGTATTTATAAATGGATTATTTGAAAAACAGAATATAAAATAATTTTGGCTTGATTGTCAGGAATGGAAAAGTCTTACAAAGGATTACTTACAAACCACCTATTGGTTTATGCTTGAAGAGGAAATAGGTACAATAAATGTTCAAATAAGTAAAACTTACTTTATCATTTCAAAAAGCTTTGGATCCGAGACCTTGATATTTCGAGCCATATTCCATGAAAGATGAACCATGGGTACTATGGACTTTACGCTCTGCAGTTTATTCCACTCGTACCGTTCCACCGCCAATTTATATTGACAAGCTATAAAAAACCAAAATTACAGGAGCAGTCAGTTAAGAAATCAACTGGAGCCAAAATAATTTGATTATAATAGAAATGTATACATTTTAGGGCTAGATTAAACTTCATTTGCAATGAAGTTCCAACTACATTGGAACTTCATTCCAACTACACTTGAATTCTATAAAATTTCTTTTTAAAAGTGCATTAATGATGCTAAAAGAACACACAATACCACAGCAGCAACAACTGTCTGTGAAAATGAGTTACTGACAAGTGTTCAATTTCTATGGTGAACAGAGAACAATTTTTCAAAAAGGTTACTTAAAAAAAATAATCTTCAAATATCTCTGATAAAAAAAATACTAAATTTGAAAAATCTGCATCTCACTCTAGTCACTCTGTCATAATTTTACAATGCTATGGTATATAATTTGTCTTGAAAAGGAAAACTGCATCTCAAGAGATTTGTTGCAATGAGTCAGACTTTTTCATTAAGCAGCCTACTCACCCTGCCCTTTTTAAAAAAGTGTTTTACAGAATTTACTGTGACTGAACATGTGAGCTCTGTATCAGTCAGTCACAAAATCCTGGAGATATACTATTTATTGCACCATAATGAAACAAAGATGGACCTTCAACTTTTTAAGAAAATTGGAGTTTTTTGGAAGTACGTTCTCTTCCAATGCATGACAATCTCACTTTAGCTATGAAATTTCCTTCCATTCTCACATTTAAAAACTTCCCAAGGCTATGACCCAAAATTAAAGACTTTTAGAGCAATAGGTCTGAAAAACTTAATATTCCTTTATGAACAAAATTTTACACAACTGTTCGCATTTCCTGATGCTTTCACTAAAGAATAATTAGGTATCTGTTGTCCTGAGAAAGTTAGATTGGACAAGTCCTTAAATCATACACAAGCTATAGAGCAGTCTGCTGGCTAGAACAAATTTTGGGAGAAAAAGTTAAGAAATGGCCTGTCTGCAAGACGGAGTGTATGAATTAATCTAAACAATTTATTCTACTAGTGTTTGCTACATAATTGTAATTTTTACAAGTCCATTAAATGAACAAGTGCAAAGGCTGCATTCTTGCTGCTTTCTCTTCCTCTTACCAATGGAATTACTTAAAGCTTCAGCACATACCGTTTTAAGATACAGTAAATCTAGTAAAGCATGGTAAATTAGTAAGAAAAGGCAGTTTCTGTGCAAATGTAGTATAACATTACCTAATTATGTAGTTCTGCACAGGCACTATTCAACCATACCTGTAAGAGGGCCAACATTCCATGCAATGTTGTTGCACCAGCCGATAGCCTGAACCCAATGAACAGTGCCAGCATTTATCCACACCAAATCCCCTGGTCTTTGAATAAACCGATAAACCGGGACATTGGCTTCATACAAATCTTCCAAGTTTGGCCACCAAGATCCCATTAGGAAATTCATATTATTCCTGAAACAATAGGAAAAAAAAGTCTTTAGCATTTATCCGCAGACATATTAATGGCTCATACTTCAATGAAATTGCCTGTAAAAACTGATCACCACGATAAATGCTTTCTGCATCTAATCATTGACCCAGGAGGACTAGTCAAATGGAAAGTTTAATCTATAAAACTCCTAATCCTAATTCCACAGTTCACATGCAACACATTAAAACACTTAACCATCTGGCTTCCCATGTGAAGTCAGTTTATAGCTCCCAGTTATGTTCTATTTACTTTTAAATTTCCCAGTATTTTATTAATGCTGGGGCAGAGATTAATGCTTGGTTAGATGAAGTGTGACAATGGTGCCAAATGCTGCCTTTTTAACCACTGATTGATTTTATATACAGACTGTACCAGCTCTTAAGAATGCTTTCTGTTTTGCACAATGCCAACCGTGTATTTGTGCTGGCAGCTTATGCACGTGAAGCTTGTCCAACAAGCAACCTGTTGGCACCATCTCAACCGTCATCCGCAGGTCCATGCTCTATTCAGCCAAGAAATATCAACCCTCATGAGAAGCATGAAAAAACACCTCAGTATGGATTTCCTAAGCACAAACTCTTTCCCTACGGTTATGCAAAATACATACTTCTCTGCCATCCTTAACCCAATTTTATACTGCACCATGACAGATCATTCGCAATTAATTGTTTTCAAGGACACTTAAGCACCTCCATCAGGCACTCCAGACATTTTGTGAAGTTACCAAGATCTTAGTTTCTCTGTCACCCTCAGGAGGACAGTGTCATGGGGGTAAAAGGCATATTGTCATCAGAGACACTGCAATTTCATGAGTGGAATTAGAATTTTGAGATGGCTAATCTTTGTAAAGGTGGATGAAATATGAACAGTTGTCAGCAGACAGCCAGAAAATATGGAATATAGAGACCCTAAGATGAATTTGCAGAGCTCTGGAAAAGTTCTTAAGAAAAGTCAAGAGCTTAGTCCGGTTTTAACTGGACAAGATAAGAAGAAAAAAACCTCTCCTGTAAGATCAGCTTCAGAGGCTACCGCTTGAACACTAGCACTATTAGGAGACACAATTGCTTCTCCTCTTTTTGGGGGTGGGCTGGGGTAGTAGGGTGGTGGTGGTGTAGTGTGGTGGTGTGGTTGTGTGTGCATGTGTGTGTATTTTGTTTGTTTTTAAAGCATTCACTCAAGGCTCAGCATAGCAATCCTAGAGCTGGCTGAGTATGGTCAGTGCACCTCAACTTTTCCATCAAGCTGCAAATATGCAAGTGTACGCAAACCATGCCATGACACCTCCTGGGGTCTGAGTAAACTAAGCTCTCCCTCTAGATGCAGCAAGAAACCATGCCAAAATACCAACGATTCTGTACTTGCTTGTGTACAACACGTATATTAATCATAATAAAGATTAACAGCATACATCACCAGAAAAATACTTCACTTCATCACTCCTAAAAACCAACAAAACAAAACCCCAGTCCTTCACCCCCAACTTTGTTCCATCAGTCCACTGCAATAGCTCTGGAACGCCATGACACCATTATAAAAGCATCACCATTTGGTAATAGTTGAGGTCAGCTTTAATACGCATGATAGAGCGGCCTAGATAAACAGCAAGGCTACGATGGATTTTCTGATGTGGAAACGTTACTGCTATGAAAACTGGACTGATGCCACATAATACACATTGGTAGAAGACAGTCTATGCTTACACTAAACTTCTGATCCCCTTTAATGTAGTATTTTGAATCTTGAACCTAGAGCAGCATTTGCTACTACCAATCTCTTGCTTGTATTTCCTTCATTCCTGTGTTCGGAAAAAACCAAATAATGGACCTAATGTTAATTTTTGAGAGAAAAGCTATTGCAGACAATCCAACTTTCTGTACACTGTACAAATGTAGTATTTTGTATAAATTCTATATTTTGCATTTTGACTTTTTTTGAAAGACTTTTCTAACTACATGGAAAACTGAAAAAAATAATGTCCTCTTACAACATCCTCAGTAATTTCCCCCCTTAGGTCTGAGAAAGTCACAGAGAACTTGATACAAATAGAGAAAAACAGCATGCCCAGCTTACTTTTCACAGAAGTCATTCATGACACCCCAATAGCTTTCAGGGACAACAAACCATTCACAGTCACCTGGACCAATATTTATATTTACGGAACAAAAGTTGTTATTCTCTTGATGACCTGAAATTTAAGAGAAAAAATAAACACACTTAATGTAAGGCTGACCTATCAAAATAATGCTATGAAAATACAAAGTAATAATTACTAAAAAACCCTACATCATAGTTTAAGTATTTGTACACATTTTTATATGACACTTATACACACTGCTTAGGGGCCTTCACAGTGTTAAAAATGCAATTAAGCTACCAGTGACTAGAGAATTCGGCTTTTTTTAGTTTGTGGAAAATGAAAAGCTGGAACTCCCAATCATGCAAATCTGACCAGTACTTCAGCAGTTCCCTTTTTTGTAGAAATGAATGCTTCAGCATGCTAAGCCTTATATTTTGTGTTTTATGATAGCTCTTGACAGTCCCAGTCAGGAGCAAAACTTCATGACTTCAGGCACTGAATAGACAAGTAGTAATAAAAGCTGTCCCAAAGAGCTTTCAAGATCAATGTAGAAATGCCAGTATTTTATCTTCTTTTGACAGCTGGAAAACTGAGCCATAATCCCTAATGGAATTATCTAAACTTGTACTTCAGAAAAAAACAGACCCTGAAATTTAGTCCAGATCCCTCAAGTCTCAGTCCAGTGCTCTAACACAGCACTATTCATTACAGAGGGTTGAATCCTATCCTTACACAATAAAGAATCTAAAAAGTAAAAATATACTGATTTCTGTGATTGCTCAAGACCTACTTTGGAAGCCTGTAAAAACTTTCAAGTCATGCAAAATACAAATACTGTCCAAATATATAAACCCACCATCTTTTTGCCCTTAAAGAATCCAGTATTGCATGCAAGAGGTTAGTATGGTAATTACCTACCACTGCAGAAATCCAGACATTTCCACCATAAGGTAATTCAGTACTTTGTACATGCAGAGTTCAGTTAAACAAGAAATTTAAAAAAAAAATACTGAATATGTACAATTTTATCATGTTTAGGCATGCTGCAAGATATGGAAAATCTGCAGTGCGGTTAAATCAATACCACAGCAGTAGAACCTGATTTTTTTTCATGCAAAGAGATTATACTCACCTGGTGTTCTACTTCCTGGAACCTTCATGTACAACTGCACTGTGTTCATGCCCAGGATGGTATGACCAACATGGCTTAGAAGATTTCCTGCTGATACCACACGTACAAAAGCAGGAAGTTTTGTCAGTTCATGGAGTTGCAACTTCCACCTGCAGCAAAATAGCAAATCGACAAACTGTGAATCCTTAAGACTCTTAGAGGAGTTTGAGAAATATAAACATTTTCAAAACATTGTTAGCACAGGAGATAAAAGAACAGACAATCTGCTTCTATGTAATTTAGCATTTCTTAAGAGGGAAGTTGAAGCAATGCAATACCCCTTACTTGACAGTTACATAAATTTAAATGACAATTTAATTTAAGAGTGAGCTAAAATCCAGGGTGATCAGACTCATCCTTGCAGTTAGCCAGTCTGCTGCTATACTGCCAGAAAACTCTGCTTGCAATTTACACCTCAGTGTACATCTTTTCCAAGTGAAAACGGAGCTGTGCTCTCCTCACACTCTTAAGCCAGTGAAGAAACTGTTAACCATGCTTTCAGGAGTGAAACAATATTGTGCTACAACATATGTCAAGAAGAGTGTCTAAACATACCCTAGCCTGTGCACACAACTTCATTCTTGGCCACAGCAATTAACTGTATGCATGTGCTATGGAACTGAATACTTGCATTTAGAAAAACACAGATCTTGAACACAAAAATCCCAGAACTTAAGTATGGAGCTCTGTAATGTCACCCAAGTATCTGTGTTACTCTTTTAATTTTAAACTATATCCAAATATAATCACAATTCTGACAGGCTAGTTGAGGGCAAAGATAGTTTTGAGCAAAAGCTGAGACCGCAGATAAGAAGATCAGGCATCTATCCGGGATGCTACAAGACTATTTAAAGTTTCTCTCCCTGTGGTTTTCTCTGGGTGCTAGTTTATTAGCAACAATTTTGCATCTACAGATGGAAATTTCTTTAGAAAAAAAATAGCATCAATATTAAAAACTTTATAAACAATCTCTAATCACATACAAATGCACACACGTTGATCTTTCAGTGACTATGCCCCAAAAGACCCCAGCATCTTAAGCTGGCCTTATTCCCCAGTTTCAAACACCATAACCTTTTCTTGTGCTCTAGTGACTGAAGCAGATCAGGATTTTTGTACAGCAGGTAGTGGAACTAACAGCCTTGACATGCTGGATCTTTTTATGGAAATACATGCTAACTAGAGATGGAACCAAATAAAAAATTATTACCTGACACACACACACAAAAATATGCTTTCAGAGTATTTCTAGTACTTTCTGATGTTTTTCTGAGCTACCTTCATCTACTCACAGAAAGATATGGAGTCTAAACAATACAAACAATACACAACTTATTTCCTTTTTTTTTTTTTTTTTTTTTTTTTTAGGTTCTGGCAGAAGTATCACATCTTATCCACAGGGAAGCATTGGTCTGGTATTTTACTACATATTTTAAGCCCTGCTCCTAGATAGAGAAGCAATAGCTATGAAAAAGTGGTAACAGAAATGATGACAGCAGGAACAAAAGCTAACAACCCCAAGTAACAAAAATCCAGAAAAATAAAAAAGAAAAATCCTTCAATCTTACAGCTTCTGTGCAAAGACTGAAAACTTGGTATTGTCAGAAGTAATTTAAGATGCATGCAAACAACTTGAAGTCTCAGAATGAAACAAAGTCAATGTATTAGGAGGAGGACAGTTTCTAATGGATTTTTAAGTTCATTTCTGGAAAAAATAAAGATCCTAGAAAGAAAAGCTTGAAAAGATATTTTAAGGTGAGAAGGACACTTAACAACAGTTAAAAGACCAAAGGTAACAATTTAATTGAGGAAATGGGGTATGTCACTGCAATTGGGTTTATCAACAGAGTGACTGATACCTGAGAAGATTGCATTGGTTTTCCAGTAGGAGTATGATACCATAGAATACCACTGTGAGCAGGAGAAACTGTAATCAACTTACTTTTTGTCATCTGACAGGTCAATGTTGGTCCCAAACTTGATTGTTTTAAAAGGTCCTCTTCTCCTCCTCCCAGAGCTGCAAATACAAAAATGTAACAGGTGATTGTGAAAATGGGAATGAGGTAAAAAAACCACATAAAACCAACTACAGAATTATCACAGTTATACCACACTTACTTATCAGAAGATGTGGATTCATTGTCTGAGTGGTCCTTGTGGTGACTCTTCTTCTCATTTTCCTCCTATAAAATGCAATTGTGGAAATGTTTCTTTATATATATATACACACACTCACAAATATATAAAATATATAGGTATATAATGTTAACATGTTCACAGACATAAGCACATTTGTTTCAAAATGCTGGTACAATCTTTAAAATATCTGTATCTAAGATTTTATGCGAATATTACTATTATGAAAATTTTAAAAAAAAATAGTTACTAGTCAAAAGTCACTGCAAAAAATTCTTCACGACTACAAATTCAGTGAAGTTCAGGCCAGGACAACAGAAAATGTCTAAACTGTAAATATTTCTGCTAGCCTACATTACAGTTGAAAATTAGTATGTTGGTTTGCTTTATTATGCAAGTGAACTGGAATCCAGTCTCCAGCCTTAAGGAATACTGTTAACTTTTTTAGACTAGAACATTTACCTTCCTTCAAAGTCAAGCAGGTCTCCTGATATGAAACTAGGATGACTAATATTTATAAAATTAATTTTATAAAATCCATTATATAAAATCTTTTGAATTTTTCATAGCCATATGCTATTTTAGCACTGCAGTAGCTAGGACCATGACTAGTGGAAAAAATCTAACTGATACTAAATGATGTAATTTGATCTTTTTAGTGGAGCAGGCTCAAAAGCCTATTCTAAAGACTTCTTTTTGGGCAAGTATATGGACATAGAAGGAAAAAGAACAAGACAAAAAGAAGGAAAGAACTGCCTGGAGGCTATCCAAAGATCTCTGGCTTTGAATGGGATTGTTGTTAAATCTCAAAGTGCCCTATGTACCTGAGAAAGTCTTATTCATCCTTTGAAGGAAGGACAAAGAGAAACAAAAAGGAACCTAGTGATGATGGATTTATCAAATACTGCAATACATGTTAGAAAAGCAATATAATAGTTGTTAGAGGCATAAAAAAAAAGATCATGTAGCGCAAACTGAAAGGATTGTGCCTGTATAAGGAAACAACAAAACTTTCATTTGAACACTGTGAAAAGTCACCTAAGGACAGGTCAAAGCAGTGTTAGGTAAAGGAAACACACTTAAAACAATGTCTTTTGGATTTCCAAGGGGAAAATGAAAATCATCATTCTGAAAATTATTTTGTATATTACATTTTTACCACCAATTTGTAACAGAGAAAAAATAATAATCAGAAAATACCACAGTTCACTTCTTGGTGCAAAACCAAAGCTGAGGCTTTCCTGCTGACAAGCTGCTACGGGATCAGTTATGTACACTATTGAACATGTACTTCACTGGAACATTATATATGGAATGTTCTCTAGCCCCTCGGGAATGACGTACAAGAATGTAATGCTGGTGCAACTGTTGAAGGGGCACCAGAAAACATCAGTATCTTACTTAAATTTATTACCATTGCAGAGGAAGAAAAATCACATTTATGTCCCAAGTTCTTGATGAATTCAGTGCTTCCCACTTCCCAACAGTATTCCTGTTTCTTTTCCTCAACCTGTATCAGTCTCACTCAAAACATTTTGACCTCCTTCGTTCTCTATTCTTCAACTACCAATTAATTTCTTTGTTTCTAATCCTTTCCTCTAATGCAAAGTTTAAATTTAGAATTTCTTTCCTTTCTTACTGAAACCATTGCTGTTTCTGTGTAAATGCAGTGAAAACTGCAATAGTCGATTTCCCATGTTGATGTTTTCCCTATTTTCTAATTAACAACTGATCAAGAATATCTTTTTGTTTTAGTTCCACCTTAGCCTAATCTTTTTATAACAGCAGATAACATAAGTCTCTGAGGAGAGCCCATAGCTAATTCCAAGGATGTGCTCACTACTTCAGCAAAAATATAAAAAAAAAATACAAACAAAAAAAAAAAAACAAAAAAAAAAAAAAAAACATATAAAAAATAAATTCAAACATTTCACTCTGTCACATAATGCCTAACAACTTCTAAACTAAATAGAAACTGCCGTGTTCAGAACCCAACAATAACTAATAGGGAAAGCATCAGCCACTTTTCTGCAAAATTTTTTAAACTGTTGTGCTGAAAGACAAGTCCAAGTGTAAACTTCAATAAGCCACATCAAATTAACTTGGGATACTATGAAGAACAAAGAAATTTGATTTCAAAGAGTATGTGAAATTAGAAGCAATACAAGTTAAAAAAAAGTGCATTTAAAGTTCTAAATATTTTAATATGAATTTTGACATTATTATATGAAAGCTTGAGCTAACAAGCTTTGAAAGCACATAATAGCCAGCTTTACATTAAGAAAATTAAGTTTTACATTAAGCATTTGTGGGAAACACCCTATATACTATTTGCCCCTCTATTCAAAACATATTCTGTAAATTTACCTGTGCTCTTCATGCCAATGGAAATGTCCCCTTTTCCTTAACAGCTTCCATTTATTTTCAATAGCCATTACTAATTGGTTCCAGAGGTAGTATACAGTTTGTAAATTATTTAAAACAATGAACTCACCCTTAAAGACTCCTGGAACGAGGAGGCTTGGTACTGTGCATACTTAGCAATTGTTGTATGAGATCTACTGCTTTCACAACGCCAGATTTTCTTTGTTCCAGTGGGGTCCCAGTTTTCATCTGCTGGCTGCAGTAGTTGTGTCCTCACTTCTACTATGTGTTCATTATTTGCTTCTACCAATGTCTTAGTAGAGAAGAGTCCTAGGTCTAATAAATAGGAAAAAAAATCATAAATGACACTTAAAATACAATAAAGTTTCAAGAAAAGAAAACATTAATACTAAAGTTATCTAAAGGTTTAAACTAAAGCATTTTTTCCCCTTAGCCTTCATAACACAGCCCACCTGTAGGTTAAAAATTAACACATGATTAACACTCAAAAAGCTTTTCTGCACCCAACAGTAGAAGCTTAGAAAAAACTTGGCAGTTACCATATGGACTATATTCCAAGAAACATTTTACGTGATTTGTGTAAACAAATCTGCAAACAATGTTTAAACCTATTACCAATAAAGTATTTTTCAGACTACTGTTATATGAATGCGCTTCCATCATACAATGCATTTCCTACCAGCAATTTCTATCTACAGTTTAAAACGTACACAGTCAGATTACAGATCATTAAAACTAAGCACAAAGACATGTAGCCAGTTTTCATAGAAAAAAAGTCTATCCGTAAGCTTCCATGCTACAGCTCAGCTCCTCTCTGCGCTCAACAAAATCTGCTGGACTTTAGGAGGCTTTTTGAGATGTTAAGATTAGAAACTGTAGCAAACTGAGAAATGACACATTACCCTAATTACTTAGAATACAAAATACAATATTACAGATATAAAATATTCACTTTTAAGAACTGAGAGGCTTCTTTTTATAGAACATATACAATTTTTTCAAAGTAAAAAAAAAAAACATTGAAAGTAAACCCACCTAATTTAAGCGCTCCAGCAAGGCCACGTATTACAGTAACAGGGTTGTTTGGATTTGTACAAAATTGATGTAAAGGTGGAAAGAAAGCATCTCGTTTATTTTCCAACTGTAAAATTATAATGGAATATTAAATGTCAGCTGAACTTAAGACTTGCTATTTGTAAAGTAAAAAAAAGAATAATAAAAGAAGAGAAACAATGGAAAGAAGACAGGAATGTTCTCCATTTCCTTGCACTGTGGGGAACGAATGGCCACATTATACAACCCCTTCCATGTTAAAAGCTACGTTCACTCCTGAAATTAATTTGTTACTGCAATTTATTTCTTGGCCTGAATAACTCCCAGGTTGTTTCGGCTCTTGCAACTCAGGTTTCCTGCAGTTTATTTCTTTATCTGACAGTAGCTTTGTACATTCTTCTAAATCTACAGAATTCTCTGAAGAGCAAGATAATATACTAGCTTTCTTTACAGAAGTCAAAAAGCTAATTCTACAGATAATGTATACAAGAAACAGTATAATTAAAAAGACTACTCTCAAAGTATATCTCATGTTAACCAGAAAGGCTGATTGGATTTTCTTATGCTTTTGTGCACCTATGACCTCAATTTTATGCTGTAGTCTTCCCCATCTTTTTTTTTCCTTCTTTTTTTCTCTCTTTTTTTTTTTTTTTTAATTGTTGTGAGTCTCTTAAAGTGCCAGAGACATTCTTTCAATAAACAAAAACACAACACAGAGTTCCCAAATATTGGGACCCATGTGTGCTGCAACATGGTGACCTACCAGCTTTGTACAGATTCAACAAAGCTGTGACAGACTTTTAACAAGGTAGATTAATTTAGATGCAACACTTGGATAACAGTTGGAAGCTCTATTGCTCTCAACTTCATCTAGCTCTTGGGTAGTCTGCTTGTGTAATATCACACCAAAGTGCCAACTGCTTCTGGTTCCCAAGTTGGGCTGAGTAAAGCTAACTTGAGGTTTTCACACCAGCTGTATGAACATACTAGAATTTATTCTTCTGTTATCAAGGAAGTGGACATCCTATAAATTATTCTTCTATTACTAAGGAAGCTAGCTCAAACTCTTAAGCTATTATGAAACTATATTTTCAGAACAGAGGTTTTAATGGTTCTATAAGAAAATACTATGTAACTAAAGCCTGACTTTTCCTATTTACATTTTGTTCTTACCATCACTGTAAATTTTATTCATTTTTTGATTGACTATATTTTGAAGCAGACTGTTAGAATAGCTTAGTTTAATTAGTTTCATTTATAGCTAAAGTGTCACTTGCAAATAATGTACATACATATTTGAAATACTGTACATTACATCTAATGAACTGTTTGGCCTATTCTGCCAATATTTTGAGCTTTTTAAAAAAAAATCAACAAAAAAAATTCTGAAGCTGTTTTTCCTCATTTACTGAAATTCTTAATTTACAAATAATTTAAGAGTCAAACTAAGCCTCCGAATTTTCTTTAGGGTTACCATTTTCCCTGCTTATATACTAGTTTGGAGAGTACTGTAATTAGAATTCAGCTGTGAATACTGCATCTTTAAAATAATTACATTATGTAATTCAGATATCCAAACAAGTACAAAAAGCGGTCAACAGCTTACTTCTTACTTCTACTTACATAAATACTAGGTGTAGGTGGATTCAGCTTGTCCTTTGGCAAGGGAGGGTATGGTGGAGGTGGTGGTCGTGGAGGTGGGCATTTATCCAATAGAATACTACTGTTAGATAAGCCATTTTTACCCAGATTCCTAAAATGAAAGAAGACCTGCCTCTGTCAGTACTTGGCTAATAAGATACATATATATTAGTGTCATCTCTTCTGCAAAATAATGATGTATAACGAGAAACCATAATTCAAGATGCAAATAAAGCCCATATATTTCAATCACGGATTCTTAGCGTATAATTTGACAATATTCAAAATAATTCCCACTTTGCCTGCCAAATCTGCAACATCACCATTAGTTGATAATACAGTCATTTCAAATAAAAGCAAGTATGACTCATTTGACAAAATTTAACAGAGAAAGCAGGTTTCAACTAGAAATAGAGAAGAAGCTTATTAGGTTGGCACTGGCTGGTAGATGATCAATTCACAGCAGCTGAGATAACACAGTCCGGTAACGCTGTGCATAGCACTGTGGCAGAGCACAAAGAAAATGATAATGCCTCAGAAAAAAAAATCTGCTGAGTCACAAAGAACAACTACAATTATAGTAACGACACTAAATTGAACAACCACCTACCCCTCTCTCTGACTTACACATTTTGAAGCCAGAAGGAGCCACTGCTGCATAATCCGTTTGTTTGAGCAACAGAGGAAAGGACCTGAGCAAGATGCTGTGCCAACACCCGTTATGTGTACCTGCGTGAGAACCCCACTTATTTTATTTTCAGCCTTTCTCTGGAGATTTCCAGATGTGGGTAACCCACCATATGCGTGTTAACTTTTCTTTAATGAATGACCTGAAAAAACAGCATTCTGAGCTTAGCCTATATTCAATTTCAAGTCAGTATCACCAGGAAAGTATTTGTTAATTTACTTAAGTAATTTTAATAACTTAAGATTTATTAATACCTTAAATTTTTGTTTGTTAAAAATGACTCAAATACTTAGAAATTCTTTACACTAAACACTATTCAAATCCTTCTTCCAACCTCACTTGATTCATTAGCTGTTGTTACCAGCTCTCAACACCCCACAAAATGGGATATTTCTAATGCATAATTTAGTCATGTGCCTTCATATAACTCACCCATTACAAAAACAGGTGTTCTGGTAACAACAGTCTTCAGCAGAAAACACGCCTGACAGATGAAACTCCTAGCAATAGAGTTTGTCTCTAAAACACAGAAACTGTGAGACTTGCACTGAGCAACATTGTAGAGCTGGGAGTTGGCATGTGAGAGCACTGCTTCAAATCAAGCTACCACAAACCACGAGTAAGACAAACTTGGGGCTTGAGATCACATCAGAATGACTGTTATGACAAAGCCTTTAAAGAAAAAAAGCAAACACCTCGCCTACCCCAGGCTGCAGGAAAGAGGAGCATCCTGAGAAACTGGTGCTCATCACCAGTCAGTCATTCAGCTCAGAACCTATACCAGCTTTCTAACTCATACATTGCTCCCCTTTGACAGAAGATCAGAGCAATACAGACCGAGACATGTTTAACAACTGTCTCCAAAGCACGCCTGTCAAAATACCAAACACAGCTTATTCCTTGTGCAGAGTGAGTCTAATGCCAGAATAGATTGCAACTTCAAAGAAACTGAAAAAGCAATGTGGAAGCTTTGATTAGGCATCATCCAACTTGGCAGAAAGCTTGCTGACCAACGCTTCATGTCTGATATAGTTCTTGCAAAGACCCTACTGCCCCCAAACAAAAAAAAAGGTGGCAATATAAAATCACCATCTCCCAAAGAAATTTATCAACAATGATTGCATGAATCTGCACCTATACAAAGCGAAACTATAATCTGAATAGCAGGAATTAGAACAAGCTGTAATTTTTGCATTACCCAACCAAAAAATAAAACCAAGAAAAGCAAATCCATAGTATTAAAAAATGAAAGAAAGCCGTGACAAAATTCAGTTTGAATTGATAAGCAGTTCTCGGGCAATTTCTGAGGCAAGGAAGATGGGAAAGACTGAAGGGAAAAAAAAAAGAAGCAAAGAAAAAAGGACATTACTCAGAACTAGCGCGACTTGAGCTACTGTAGTTACAACAAAATAACCATCACAGTAAAAGCTCAGGAAAACCAGGGTACATGAGGTCTTCAGGGAAGGGGCACAATAGAGAAGGGAGAATCTACTGTACCCTTACATTTACAGGTCTGAAAAGGCAAAGGAGATAGACCACATTATTGCGCAGACAGTGCAGATGAAAAGATCAGATGGGGAAAGATATCTCATAAACCCAGCACTTGAAGCTCATACTACCAAATGCACACCACAGTTTCCTATTAAGTTACTAACAGCCTGTGAGGAAATTTCAAGGGAGGAAAGGGGCCAAAGAAAAGCAAAGCTGAGATAGGAAAATGGTCGTAATTCAAGCAGCACAGGAAACAGATGGGAAGAAGATTTTGAGTTATCTTTAACACACCCGTTTCACTCTATCATCTTTCTTCTGTACATGAATCAGAATAACTATTAATAACAATAACAATACAAGAGAGCTAATAAAGAATAACACTGTAATTGATAATGTGCAAACCAGAGCAATGGAAATTACAAAAAAACACCACAGAGGTACCAAAAAGATTTGCTACCAGCAGCTGAAATGAAGCAGTGTGAATCTCCACCTCTGGGGATAGAGAACGATGGCCACTGCAAGGAAAGTGAGACACCCTTTTTGACCACAGCAACTGCAAGGAAAATCTCACATGCGTCTATTTCAAGAGTATTTTTTGTGAGAGGATTTCATACTGGCTGAAAGAGGCAACAGTCAAGGCTTGGGAAAAAACAAGCCTGATTTAGGCTCTAAAAAGAAACTGGAGGCCCAAACAGTCACCTACAATGCTGCGATGGAGGAATGAAGAGGAGGACAGGCTTCATTCATTTAAATTGACTTTCCAGAGGGAATTGGCTTTTCATAAGACTGTGCAGTCAGGAGAACACCCTTCATTCCCAGATAGCGGGAAGAGAAGAGAGGAGCAGCTGTCAGCCTCAGAAAGGTAAGGACAGATGTACGTGCTGATGTGCAGAGTTGTCCTGACTCAAAGCTGCACTCATTCCCCAGCCTGTGCATTTAGCAAATATTATTCTTCCCTCCAGTTTACTATTTTCACTGTCTGGTTTGTTATGCAGGTGGGATGTCCCTTCCCATGGGAAAATGGACTCCAGCTGCTCTGGCCTTAGAGACTCCCCTGCCAGAGCCCTACATCACTAGCAAAAACTAAATAAAACAAGACCAAAATCTGATTCCAAGGCAAGATCACTGAAACATTTACAATTACATGAAACTTATCAAGTAGTTGCTATACACTTCATAAGCACTGTATTGACATTGTGTCATTCTACTTGACTAAAAAAAGATACTGTACAAGCTTAAAGCCAATTGTGTTACACAGCTGTATTAATTTTAACTCTATTTTACTATACAAACTCTCAACTACATCAAGAATATTAAAGTTAACATGATAAAACTTATTTTCCAAAACCATTAATTCACCATATCATTAATTACTATCCTTTACATTTATGAAATTTATCATCTCAATAATTTTATTATTTCACTTGAGCCTAATGGCAGACTGAGAGGATTAAGTTTACTTTTCAGAAAGCAGTTCCAGAGTGGTTTTCAAATCCTCTGGAACTTTTTCTGTTTTCCAAGAACTATAAAAAATATATCTGTATGAATGATAAACAACAATTCTATGGCCTGAGCTCATGGATGTATGCTATTCAGGGCTCTGACTTAAAAATATCAAACTTAAGTATAACTACTGTTTAGCTTTCTTGATTACTATGAGAACAGAGAGTGTGTTACCATACATCCCATGATGTGAACATCATATCTGCCTTTTTCCCAAGCACAGAACAGAAATATTTACTGAATTCTCTTTGCCTCTATTGACAATTCTAATAACTCTGTGTAGTCATTAAACATGAGTGGTTTTTGTGTTTCTTTTTCATTCTTGGCTGTAGTTTTCCTCTTCCAAACCTCATTGCTGAGTCTTCTAGAACTCCTAGCTTCAGTGCTTTTAAAAATATTTTCCCTTTTTGTTTTCAGTTGGGAGATTGGGACTTTTTGATAACAATGAAAAGTTCCTAAGCAATTTCCAGTTATCTACACATTTGGGTTTTAGGTACATTTTACAGGCCAAAACAGAATAAGTCACAATCATTGCACTTAAGCAGTTATTTTTGTTGTGAAGTCAGTCTCTGTTTAAGTGAATTGTTATTTGAGGATTAGCTGCATGAGAATTAACAAGGTTTTATCGCTCAAGAGATTATAGTTATTCTGAAGAACAAAACTAATACCGTCTCTTCCCCAAATAAAAATCACATTAAACATGAATATAAGGAACTGTGGATTTATGTGATACTCTACCTCAAATCTATCAGAATTAATTAATCTACAAAGAAGAATGAACAAAACATTTCAAAAACATGCCTGCAGGAGGACTCAGCTGAAGCACTGTGACGGACAGTACTTACTCGACCCAGTCCTGATTCAAAAAGAAACACCCAGCCTTTCTTAACAATTAATGGATACAATCAATTGCTTTCATACTCCAAGTTACTACAAAAAAACAGAAAAATTGTCTGTCAAGACCCAGCACCCTGTGAAGGAGGTGGTTACACACAACACCTAACTTTGGCTCTCTAAGGCTCAGCTCCCCAAGCTCCTTCTGTAGACAGTATTCGAAAGGGAATACAAAGAAGTCAAGCTTACGTTAAGCTTAAATTCAAGTAATGCCAGATAATTATACAACCTGTTTATCATGCAATTCTCTACCCCAGCATACAACCAGGTACTAGCTGGCAATACTCCCAGAGAGCTTTCTTTTTAAACCTACAAAAAAATTCCTACAGTAGAATTGTGGATTTTCTCATTATGCAAATATATTTCTAATAATTCTTCAAATTCTGTTCTGGTTTTGACCTCAATAGTATAGGTTGGCAGTGAATTTCATAGGTTAATTATATGTTATGTAAGAAGTAATGTTCCTTTTTTTCTTTCCTAAACGACTTTTACATCTTTCCTTTCTATTTCATTTGCTAATCACCATGTTCTCAGGC